ATTATATATATTTCAATTAAACTGCTGAAACTGGTTAAAAAAATACGTCATAGATAATAAATTATAATAGCTAAACTTCTTGAACTCGTTGTTGACGTTTATTCACATTGTTACGTTAATAACAAACAAACGAACGAACGAACGGTTCCTAAAATGTTACATTACAAAAGTCATTAAACAAATAATACAAAAAATGGGCAAAATACGAAAAACTGAAAGAATACTTACAAGATAGTTTGTCGTGAGTTCCCTTGAACGTTGAAGTGAACTGACTTAATTACACTACTTTTCAATACTTAAAACGATTCGAACAAAAGACCAGAATACATTAAACTTAGGAAAATATAACAACATTAACAATTATTCAAAAACTCATTAATTATTCATGAGGTATTCAGCCAATCCCTGATTGTAATTTGTACCACGTGAAGTAACTAATAATAATAATAATAATAATAATAATAATAATAATAATAATGAAAACTTGTATAGCGCATATACAAGTCTGTTCTATGCGCTCTGATATAACTAACAAACAAATTAAACTCTAAAAGCTAAACTAAACAAATAAGTTTTGAGTTCTTTCTTAAAGGACAGCAAAGAGTCAATGTTTCTTAAATCAGATGGGMRAGMRTTCCATAAWGTAGDGGCAGCAACAGAGAAAGAGCGAGAGCCATATGTTTTCATGGAGTAAGGTTTAACAGATAGGAGTAGTTCTTTAAAGGACCGAAGCGTTCTTTTAGGTTTGTATACAGAGATGATCAGTTCAGAAATGTAAGACGGAGTAAGACCATGTAGTGCTTTGAAGGTAAGTAGAAGAATCTTGTAATTARTWYRTTGACGAACAGGGAGCCAGTGTAGATCTTTTAGTAAAGGAGTAATGTGATCACGACGTTTAGAGAGAGTAACAATTCGGGCAGCAGAATTAAGAACACGTTGTAGCTTATCCAGGTGAACACCAGATATACCATATAGAAGAGAGTTACAATTATCAAGTCTTGAAGTTACAAAGGCATGGACAAGTTTTTCAGCAGTACTCACAGATATAAATTTACGGATACGAGAAATATTACGTAGATGATAAAATGACGT